GTTTTCTATGTAAAATTCATGTGCTTTGTAACTGAATGATGGTCTGTCTTTTCGCTCCAGACACCAGTTGCATCCATTAATATTTATAAATGTTGATTTCCCTCTCTTTTTAGCAATCGTTTACTACCATGATTCTTTTTTCTCTCCTTATTTTAAATCTTTCCCAAGAAGAAAAAGAGAGGTGGAGTGGGGAGAAAGAAAGGACTGCTGGTCTAAATCAGGGCGAAACTTTCACAAACCTATTTCAGTCTGTTTCCACAACGGCTGTTTTTATCAACTGGGTTAGATTGAGGAGTGTGGAATCGAGGAGTGGAGAGCCCACGGCATGTTGCAAAACAAATGTAGGTGGAATCTAACTCCTGCTAAAAATGCTGATACCCCACCTCCGCCTTCTCCTTACCCCACCCCCATGTAGCTTTAATGCTAGAGAATTTGACAGGAAGGACTCTGGCTGGACACTGCAGGGAAGAATTATGCAATCCTGCCAGCAGCTCTGGCACAGTGCCTAGAACACATCCTTAGGGGTCTTCAAACATAGTCTCAGCTCATCCAGTAGAGTTTATCAATTATCTTTTCTTAACAGACATCCATATGAAAGAGCAGCTGCCTATAAAAGTGGGCTATCCTGAAAATAGGGAAAAAACAAAACAAAAAGGCCTCACTCTGCTGGAACCAGACTGTGCCTGTTCCTGAGTCTAGCAGATTTTGTGAAGACATTCCTTTGAAATGTAGCACCGAAGAGCTATTTTCAGTTGCCCCACCATGCCTCTGATGTGAGGCCCACGTGTGTCTCCTTAACTCCTCACTGCCACCCTGATTTAACTACACACATTATTGCCAGTTGGCTTATAGGATCCACTGGAAAGCAGCGTCAACACCCTCCCAAACACATAAATTTTGGATCTGTAGAAAAAAATGGTATGACTGAATACTACCCAGTTGCTTAGCGTTTTACTATTTTACCTTTGGCAGGGAGGTAATAGTAAAACTTGGATAATGCTCAGCATTCAATACATTACCCTTTGGCACAGAGGAAATTCCTTATACTTTCTGTCTCTTTTGTCTTTAAAACTACACTATAAAGTAAGTCAGCTATATTATCTTCTTGCTGCAGATCCAAAGTGCAACTGATAGATGGTGGGTTTCCTGAGGCATTTCATGGCCATGTCATAGTTTGAACTGTGGACTTTCCTGCTTACCTGTAGCTGCTATGCCAAAGCAGCTCCTAGCAGGTGCAGATGAGACAGCAGAACCTAGTTTCAGTCCATCAAAAATTCTAGCAGTGCCGGAACTACCCCTAGCCAACACACCAACTCATCATGTTGCCTAGAGCAGTGGTCCCCGACCTTGGGCCTCCAGATGTTCTTGGACTACAATTCCCAGAAGCCACCACCACCACCTCTGCTGGCCAGGATTTCTGGGAGTTGAAGTCCAAGAACACCTGGAGGCCCAAGGTTGGGGACCACTGGCCTAGAGGATTCTAGGAGTTGCGGCCCCCCAAAAATCACATGTCCAAGCTCTGTCTTCTGGTCACGTAGCAGTTTGTTTCAATAGGACTTCTTAGCTTACCTTCAACTGCTGAACAGTCACGAGCATGTTTCCCATAGCAACAGTGTTTGGATGTACTTCCCAATCCCACACTACAGCCATTCCTGCTTGTTTGTTCGTTAATGGTGTGAAATAAATTCTAGGATGTTTCTTTGGTCTGCCCCAAATAAGATTACACTAATCGACTACATGTATGTTTAGTAGTAGCAGCTGGAGGGCAAACTTCCTTCTCTAATTGATTAAGAAATTCCATAGTATAAGCTTGTTTTCACTAAGGTTGGAAAAACACCTTTGGAAATATATTTGCAGTAAAACAAGTATTGAAATTATAATCATAGTTTGGAATCCTTTAGGAGCACATATGACTATAATCTGGATATTAAAAACATTTTTCCAGTGATGGATAAATTCCCTACTAGTTGACTCCTTTTCATTGGCAATCAGAAGCAGGTCATGAGTAAGTAAAATATTAATGCTTAAGATTTATACCATTTCTTTTATTCCCTGCATGATTTCCATATAATAAAATTATCTCCCATTTGGCAAGATGATATAGTACATCAATATCTGTTTTATAATAATAATTGTGTGCCATAGTCAAATCTGACTGATGGCAACCATTTCCAGGGTTTTTCTAGGTAGTGAATACTGAAAAGTGACTTACCATTTCTTTCTTCTGGAGGCACTCTGGGGCCCAGAGTCACACAGGCTGACTTTACTCTTGGGAGGGACCATGGAGATCCAGACTTCCAATTTCTGGCTTCATAGCCAGATACCTAACTCACTGAGCTGGCCAGCCAGCTGATTGTTTTATACATTTACTAAAAAAAAACTTTTGTGAATTGCCTTGGCAGGGCTGTGACCTGAAAGGTGGGTTGCGGTGCAGTCTTATGCATATCTACTTAAGAGCACACATAATTTAGTTGAGTATGATGAGTCACACTCAGATGTATCAGCAAAGGACTGCAGCATCAGAAATTGCTTGAGGCTGCAATCTTATATACAGTGAGCTAGGAGTAAGCTCCATCAGACTTAACAGGCCTCATTTTTGATTAGACTTGCACAGGATTGCCCTGTAAGGAAATAAATACACTGAATATAGGCCATCTGTGTTCAGCCTTCCTTCCTAGGTATCTCATGCATGTTTGTCCTAAGGTCCCACTACCTCCCATGTAAACACACGTGTAACTGAAATCTGTATGTTGTATTGTTAAATTGTTGCTATATACTTGAAGAAATTTGATAAACACTAAGGAGATGGTAGTTCTCAAACTGAACATTTTTAGATAATAGGCTCTTTAAATAAATAGAACATGGTATATATATATACACACACAATGCAGTGCTTTGTTTTTGCAGGGTGAATTTCTCTGTTTTCCCATTTTAAGTCTGCTACATTTACCCCAAGTGCAAACCTATTGAGGGCTGAGCACACAAAACAGAGGTGTCTCTAACATACAACTGTCAGAGCAGAATGAGGATTTTTTGTCTATGAGGATTAGGCACTGCAAATTTAGTGGCTAGAAATGTTGCATTTTAACGAGACCTAGATTCAAATACTGAATGCCCTTCTGTAAATGTTTTCTGTTCTCCAGTGATAATGGACATAGTGCAAGTTATTGTTACAAACAGCAATCTCCAGCACAACCTAGAAGAAAGATTTAAATTATGAAAAAGTGAGGTATCAGCAGCAACTCATCAGAAAGCTGGTGTTTCTTAACAATGTCAAATCCCCCCAAAATGTTACTTTCTGGACAGTTTTTCTTTAAAATATGTTATCAATCTATTGAGCCACACAAGCAATGATTAGATACCATTTGGCTAGATACAGTATAAGAAAATGTATTTCTGGTTTCTGGCTATTTAAAGAGAATGTGTCTTGCGTTTGTCTGCCATTCACTGCCAACGCCTAATGGTCAAGCGAGCGTTCCTATTTTAATAGTCTCTTCAGTCATGAACCTATTCTAATTTTTTTAAAGGCCAAAGACAGAGGAAAATATACCTCCCTCCAAGTCTCCAAGTAAAAGAAGATGGATGTAGTGTCAGGCTCAATTAGATCCAATTGTGCCGGCTTTTGCCAATGAGAACAATGCAGCTTTTGTAACTAACTCCTAGCAAAAAGCATGAAAGGATTAAAAAAAATAAAAATAGCAATAAGGTCTAGGTGCAGCTTTCCTCTTGCAGGCACAGTGAAAGCCCAGTAAAACCTTATTCCAAATAAAACATACAAGGGTAGTTTCCCATCTCAATCGCTGTTTTACTCCTTTTCCTTTAGAACCTGAAGGCGCTGCCATTATTTTAGGTATTTAAGCAGAAGAAAACCTGCCATTCCAGATTACACTATAAGGGGGGGGGGGGAGGAGAGATGTTGGCTAGGACCTTTTTCTATGAACAGTTAGTTTACCTGGTATCTCTAGAAAAGTGACCAACTGAAAAACAACTCTTTGAAATTGAACAGAGTAGCCTTCTACTGCTTGGGAAGTGCCTGAAATGCAAATGTACAGGAACTCCAGACCATCCCCCACCCCCACCCCTCCACATGGAGGAAAAGCAGCTTAAATACAGCCAGGCCTGGAGAGGAATGTTAAAAAGAAGGAACAAACCACCCCTCCTCCCTTCCATAGGGACCCTCACATAGAAAGATTCAGTATGCATGACTGAACAAGCAAGCAAGCAAGCAAGGACAGCTCCTCTTTTAACTTTCCTGAACAATGGCTTCAGCTCCTTCCACCATTTCACATTCTCTCCCCCCCCCCCCCGCAAAAAAAAAGAAAAGGGGAGAAAAGTCATGCTGCATGATTTAGAACATAAAACAAAGCTTTTCTCTGTAAGCATTCCTTAAACCACTACCCCCATTAAAAAAAAAAAAACTCGGCAGAGAAGTTTGGAAAAAGATCACTGTCAGGGCAAAAGTTAGAGATGGATACAAATGAAAGGGAGAATTGTTCACAGTTTACACTATTTTTTGACATCCAGCTTTGATTTTCACTTTTATCTGAAAGGGGGGGGGGACACAAAGGCTATTTAATCCTTGTCAAACTTTGTTCTGAACAATTCACTTAATTTCTCAGGCACTAACTCAGAATAGAAGTCTGAGCTAATATCTCTTTTAAAAAAGGAAAAAGAAAGCCACTGTTCTGTTCTCAGCATCTGTGAAAACATTTGCCCAACATTATACTGAAAGGTTATTACAGTAGGCAGATTCAATCATAAACAGCATACAGATTATTATAAGCTCAGATTTCTAGCAGGCTCTTCCACAGGGAATTAACTGCTCTGCTGTGAACTTCTAATTTGGAAGTGGTTAGCTGAAAGGACAGAACCTTTCCATTACTTTGTTTTTCTGGGCCAAACTACTTTCAGACAGAAAAGAGACATAACTACCACATTTGTTCTCACCGCTTTAGATGAAATATACCTTCCTTCCCAAAAGACAAATACAACACATGATGCATTTTTTCAAAAACATACTTCATATTTCCTTTTATTATATAAATATCAGTTTGACCTTTTCCTGTAAGAATATAAAACGTTTTAAGAGGATCTTTTAAGTTTATACAAATTCACAAACAGTACATTTATTCCATGATCATGTTGTGTGTCTGGGCATGTCTGTGTTCCATGACCTGCAACTGTGGAGGACTGGAAAGCTGCACAACTGCCCCTTCTTCTCCCATTGTTTTTGCTTTGTTCGAAGCTGTCCTATTCCTCCTTTTCAAGACAAGTAGTCAAGAAGTGGCTTTATTTTAATGAATGAACAAAAACAACACATGAAATTGACTTTTCCCATTCATGTTAGAACTGCAAGTGAGTCTGTTCTGCTGGCTCCTGGTCCTGTCTCCTTCCACAGAGGAAGCTTGTTATTTGACCTATGCAATTTGAGAGAATAGGAAGTGGGAATTTGCATATATTAAAGAAACAGAGCTTCTACTTCACATTTCTGAACCACAAATCAATAATCAATTGGGATGCTCACATGTTACACGTGTTTGTGCTAGAAGAGTAGAAATGCAGGATTACTGTTGGGTTCCCAGAACCTTAATCAGAGAAGGAGAGGCACAAAGATAATGTACAGGTGAGTCACAGGGGAAAGAAATCCCAACCAACATTTCCTTTTCCTGCACCCCTCTAAATTATAAACCCCAGGGACAGCTTTCTAGTCTAGGCACAAAAATAGTTCAGTCTCTTATCTCTCTTGTAAAAATTCCAGGGCAGGGGGCTGGGGAGGAGAAGAGAGGGAAAAAAATCCCCAAACCCGAGGTAGCCAAACATTTATATAGAGAGAATATCCTTAGCAGAAAAAGAGATGTGTACTTAAAAATCCACAAGAACTACCATTTCATGTCTTTCAAAATTATATTATATACGAACATGAATACCACAGAGAATGAATAAAAAAACTGAGATCACTCATAAAACTTTAAGAAAAGGGAAGGGCAAGGAGTGTTGCAGTAGATATTTTGTTAGCTATGCATTGTTAAATAAAAGTCAATAAAAGCATGTCTAAAGATGGCACAAGAGATGTTTAATTCCGTCATTTTTATGCCTTCAGTCCTCCAAATGGAAAAGGTTTCTTGATGGAGATTTTTTTTAAATGACATAGTACAAATGAGAAAGGAAAGGAAAATGCTGATGTGACTTCAACCTTTGTTGAGATTTTAGCTATAAAAGAAAGTTGATAATGAAGTGAGTTAAATACATGAAAATAAGTCTGACAGAGAAATACTCTGATTTCATGCCCCCTCCCCATCTCTTCATCAAGCAACAGTAAAAAGAATGAGTGCACTTCAATTGACACTCCATTTACATTGCTGCCATGTCAAAGAAATATCACCTGCTCAACCTCAAGCAAAGGGAAATGAAAAGGACAGGAGGATAGAGTATTCTGGTCCAGAAGAGAGGTAGAATGATAGGGCTGGGAAAAACGGGAACATCCTGTGGTCACTCATTGCAAAGATGACTGAACTAGAAAGATCAGGCAGTTTTCCATGTTCCTATGATCTACAGGTTCTCTATGTATTGTAAAAAGTGTAGGTTTTACTACCAAAAACATCATGGGAACTGGTCTACAAGCAAAATGGAAAAGGAAGAGATGTATGTGGTTAAAAAGACAAAGAGAATAATTGCAGGCTAAGTTTTCTTCTTCCATCCCTAGTGCAGAAGGGGGTGGAATCAGATTTGGAGAAAGGGGCAGTATTCATCCCCAGTGCATAAAAGATTGAGAAGCTGCATTCCCAATAGAAAAAGTAAGGACAGTGATACTGTTATCCATCCACAGTGAAGGCTGATATGGAGTGCAGTTATCTCCCCCCACCACAGGGAAGGAATGGTGAAAGAATGGTGGGCTTTCCCTCCCTCGCTACACTACTAGGGCAGGTAGGTGGGAAAGGCAGGCAGGCAAGTATTGACCCTTCCTTCCCCTCTCTAGCGCTGGAGGTATATCCCCCCCCTTTCTCTCTGTCCTCCACTGCAGCAGTCAGTTGGTGAGTCCCTCCGGAGGGCCAGGGATCTCCGGGTGTACCCTCATCTCACCTGACCTTTTCACTCTCAGTCATTTGCCAGAGTCCCAGATTGAGCACTTTGAGGCAGGGCAATTGAGTGATGCGCTCAAGGCCCCTTTTTGTGATGCGGGTGCAGCCGTAGAGGTCAATGCCCGTGAGCTGACTGAGGTGTTCAGCAATGAGTTCCAGGCCTTTGTCAGTGATGCGGACACACTGGCCAATGTTGAGGGTGCGCAGTCCATGCATTTGGCGCACCATGCGGTTGATGCCCTCATCGCTGATGTGGCAGGAGCAAAGGGAAAGTGAGCGCAGTCCATCAAGGCCCTGTGCAATATAGGCCAGGCTTTGGTCGCCCACTTTGTCACAGAAGGAGACATCCAAGCCTGAGAGGCGCAAGGTGCCCATGGCGAGGTGCATGATGCCTGTGTCGCTGATGTTGTCACAGGAACGAAGGTTCAGGGTGCGTAGGCTGCTCATGTGCGACAAGTGCAGCAACCCTGCATCTGAGATCCCTCCACAAAAGCTGAGGTTTAGCTGGCGCAGGCGGGTGAGCCCACGAGCCAGATGCTTCAGGGATAGGTCACTGAGCTTCTGGCAGTCCTGCAGCGTGAGCTGCTCGAGCCCCAGGCAGCCCTCGGCTGCACTCCGGGTCATACCTGCCAGGTGCCCGATCCCCACGTCAGAAAGGTGGCGGCAGGAGCGAAGGTTGAGGCTTTTGAGGCGCTGCAGGCCCCAGGCGATGAGCAAAAGGCCCGTGTTAGTGATATTGCTGCAGCCGCCCAACTCCAGCACCTCCAGGCCCTTGAGGTACTGGGCAATGCGGCCCAGGCTGCTGTCGGTGATCTGCTTGCACAGGCTCAGGTTCAGCGCCCGCAGCGAGCTGATCTCCGCCACGAAGGCATGCCCCAGCCCGTTGTCGGTCAGGTTGTAGCAGCCGCTCAGGTTGAGGCTCTCGATCTCCGCCATGCCCTGGATCACGTAGCTCAGGCTGCGCCGCAGCGACAGGATCTGCACCCGCCGGATGCCCCGGGCCGCCAGGCTGGGGAAAAGGGAAGGGTTGGCGCGGCGCAAGTGCAGCTTGGCCTCCACCCCGCGCCACACCGAGCGGTGGTAGGCGGCGTCCCGCCAGGCCGTGCACACCTGCGCCACCCGGCCCTTGTCCCGCACCTCCAGGTACCCGAAGATCATGGCCAAGAGCTCCGGGAACAGGCACGAGATGTGCGTCTCCATCGCCCGGGCCCGGCTCGTCGCCTCGGTCGCGCAGCAGCCCCCCGGGCCCGGCGCCACGTATAGGTTTCTCAGGAGACAGATAATGTGGTCAGGCATTCCCATTTCTTTAAGGGCTTCCCATAGTTTGCTGTGGTCCACACAGTCAAAGGCTTTTGCATAGTCCATGAAGCAGAAGCAGATTTTTTTCTGGAACTCTTTGGCTTTTTCCATAATCCACTGCATGTTAGCAATTTGGTCTCTAGTTCCTCTGCCCCTTCAAAATCCAGCTTGCACTTCTGGGCGTTCTCGGTCCACATACTGCTGAAGCCTACCTTGGAGGATTTTGAACATAACCTTGCTAGCGGGTGAAATGAATGCAATTTTACGGTAGTTGGAGCATTCTTTGGCACTGGCCTTCTTTGGGATTGGGATGTAGACTGATATTTTCCAGTCTTCTAGCCATTGTTGAGTTTTCCAAACTTGCTGGCATATTGAGTGTAGCACCTTAACAGTGTCATCTTTTAAGATTTTAAATAGTTGAACTGGAATACCATCACCTCCACTGGCCTTGTTGTTAGCCATGCTTTCTCTTTTTTAAATATTTTTTTTTATTTTTATAACTATAACATAAACATAAACATAAAATACATAAACCAAAATACAATTTACCTGTGCTCCCTATATCACCAGATCCTTCTGGTGTAATTCCTCTGTTATTTTTGCCACCTCTTCTTGATATCTTCCGCCTCTTATTTTCCTCTATTTCTTTGCATTGTTCATTTAAGAAGGCCCTCGCAGTGGTATGAGCCGGAACACTCCGAGCCGTCGCCGTGGCAACAGCGCCCCCTCCCTCCCACATCCTCCTCCTCGTCCTTTCGCGAGCCCGGTAGGATTAACCCTTGTGCTGCCACACTTTGCCCGAAGAAGCTTTCTGGGCTTTTTCCGAGCGCCAGGCGGGAAGAGTTGCGTTCACCGCCGCCGCCGGAAGGCGCGAGGAAAGGATGGTCCCGGCGGCTCCTCATGAGGAGCTTTCCGAGCAGGGGAAACCCTAAATGTCCTCACCTCAGCGGGATCTGTCAGGTTAGGATTAGGAGCATCGCTGTTGCTAAGGCGCCTTGCGGGAAGGTGCCAAGGACGTCGCGGGAGGCGGTTGGTGGTCGTGGAAGGGCGTCGGATGGGCGCCTCCTCGTCTCCCGGCGGCTGCCCGAAGGAGAGGAGAGAGAGTGAGAGGAAGGGGTCCTTCGCATCAGGGTGAAAAGTTACACACACAGAGAGAGAAGAGAGAGAGAGAGAGTCTGTAGGAGAGTGACAGTAACTGGCCAGTTTTACACACACACACACACACACACACACACACACACACACACACACACACACACACAGACACATACACACACACTGACACAGC